TAAGTCAAACCTTTATCACGAGACTACTAACAGTTAAGCAATAAAAAGTCTTTTTTCCGTTCACAATATAAAATACAAGTATATATATTAAATTATTTTTCGTACATTTCATAGTAATCCAAGTTTTGAGTTAATGTTAATAAGTATACCAACAGTACAGCACCGTGCTCTAATTACACTACCATTCACACTTCTTGCCCAACAGACCGACTTAATGAATGCATATCCAGCTGATATGAGAAAAGCAAACAGGTTTCACCGGAAAAGGTTTTATATAACACCCACGTGGTATATACAGACTCTTTAAAGGATTATGTTTAAGAAAGTACTCTTCAATTGACATTAAAAAGTAAATTTTTCTTTGTTTATTTCTTTATATATAAAGTACTCTTTTAATATCACTACAGACAACATTATGACGTTCTTAAAATATCTTTTATTTCTTACCTTTGAAACTCTTAGTTAGTATCTTTTACAAGATATCTTATCTGTCTCACAAAGAAAGATGACTGGACTATGAACAAAAAATAAAGTTTTATATGATAAAAAGAATTCTAAATTCAAATTATTTTTTTTTTTAATATTCCCAATTTATGAGCAGTACGGTAAATGTCACAACACTATTTGATATAGAATCATTGGTACGCGAATTTCCTGTACCGGTCAATTAGTTTTAAATTACTATAAATTGGTACCAAAGTGATTCCAATTAGGTCATCCTAACGAATGTTAGCTCTCATTAACTACAAACAGCATTAAATAATTTGAATATGTTTTACGTCGTTTATTAGATAAACGCTAGAACATTTTAATATATATTCTTTAATAATAAAGTACAAAAACATATTATATAATAATACTCTATTATACAGAATTTTGTCAATATTTCGTTATTTTTACCTCAATTCTGCTTACAAATGACAAAATTTTCCTTATGACATATGTGGTTACATCAGCCATATTTGTCAAATTTCTTTCAAAAAATTGAACCCAACCAAACAGCCATATTTTAATCGAAAAATGAAAAAACCTATAGCTAAAATTTTTATTAACACTTTATTCCTTTTTAATTAAATTTATTTCTTTAAAAAAGACTTTAGTAAGTAAATGTGGATTTAATTAAAAATATTTTGTGAATAAAAGTACCTAGAGCTGAAAATATAAAACCTGAAAATTCAAGCACTCAAAGCTACGTAACTCTCATTTTATACATGAAAGATTCCGGCGGTTTAAAACCTTACATATTGAAGTTAAATATGAAAATGAAGTTTAATTTAAAAGGTAATAAATCTGTTTTAGTACAGCGATGCCTCGTAATAACGATCGATACTATTTCCATATTATTTGTAGATGGTAGCCAAGCAATCAATCACTGACACGATGCCAGACTAAATAATAACAGAACACATTAAATATTTGCTTAGAAATCCATTTTACATCACTACTGTGTAATTTTTCATAAAATAAATTACGTATAGCAAAAAATTTAGCTCTATACATACGTGTCAAATAAAAAAAATGCAAAGAGTTTCATTTAATAAGTTCGAATATAAATATTTAAATATATTAAGAGATTTTATGAAGTCATTTAAGAATATCGTTCTAAATTTGAATCTCAAAGAATTATTTTATCAGACAGACAATTAACTATATTTGTTTTCTTAACAGCATTTAATACAATCTTGACCGACCAAGGAGATAAGATAAAAAAAGGTTTACATATAATAGAGAGGGAACAAATCCATTCAATTCTATACCACAATAGCAACACAGACAACAGTAATTTCACCCACGTTGTATATAAATAATGCACACAATCTAGAAAAGGAATAATACAAAAAGAAAAAGATTTTTATTCAACTCGAGAAAACCGACTTGGGTGCAATACAAGATGGATATAAGAGATTTAATCAGATACTCGATTAGGGTTATCTGACTGAAGGAAAGGATGATTCACGATTACAATATAAGTATTATATAATCTGTAATAACTTTGACATATGTATAATCTATATAATCTGTAATAAGTTTGACATATGTATAATCTATATAATCTGTGTACTGTATACTCTGTAATCCGCACCTGTGCCAATAAAACATATTATATTCCCCGAAGCTCCATTCCACCGATTCGATGGCGAGTGGTTATTGCTTTCCAAAACCATTAAGATTTTCAATTTCAACAAATTGCAAACCTTTCATTGTATTTTATCAATACATTATTTGCTTTTGTAATTGGAATCGTTTTAGAATCTTGTTCGAAATCTATTTTAACGTAAAATACGGTTTGAACAATTTAAAATGAATTATATAAGTTTAAAATAATTAGTTAAAATGTTAAATAAAGTAACAAAAGATATTAATAACTTAACTTAAAAGTGAATACTTGATAATTTTTATATTAAGTTCATTAAATATTGTCTAGACTGCATCAACACTGAAGTTATATGCAAATGTTTTTATTTATAAATTCATGTTTTTGATGCGATTTATTTTAATATTCATTCAACTTATTCTGCAAAGAACTTAGTTATATATGTATATATGAACATCTTATTTTTTTTTATTGTTTTTTTTTTCATACAGCCAATATTGGACTATAAATTGTTGAAAAATTTTCAGCGTATAGTCCAGTTATCAAATGTGTTTATATCGACCTACTTGTACAGGAAGCGCTAACCACCGTAGTGATGTTTAAACTGTAATTTCTAATAAAACTTTGATTTAGTTAGTACATTAAATAGTGGTATATTTATGACACATTATGCTAACGAATCGACTATAAAGAATAATGTTTTTTTAAAGCAAATATTGAAAGATTTTTAAGATTTTTTGTATTCGGAAATCATATTCAGCTTTTTTAATATTTGTAAATAATCTCTTTAAATATTACTTAATAAGTTTAGACACGAGTAAGGTGTAGTTAGTGATACAAGTTATGAAGGCCATTTTAAATAATAATTATTATAAATAAGAATATATAAATAAACATTCCGAAGGTATAGAAATCGAAGCTAAAATATAAAACTTTTTCATTGTTGTTAAAAATATACATACATAGTATATTATATTTATCTAATTCGTTAATCTAACAAAATTATTCGAATCAACATTTCCCATAACTAAAATGATAATCCAACAAAAAACAGAAGCACACAACTAAAGTGGTACATTAAACGATATATCACTTTAAAAATTTGTCGAATTTTTCATTTATTTCTCTCGATGGCCGCATGGTCACTTAGCTCATTTATCTAGAGGTCCGTCCGTCTGTCACTGCCTAATCTAATACGACACGCTAGCTTTTTGTCCTCATAATAGTGCCTCAGTAACTCCTTGAAATGGCTGGTTATCCATCAGGCGAGTACCATTTAAGGGGCAAGTTCAACATTCCTGAGATAAGGACATTCGATGTAAACGGGAAATCATCTCGTTTTTGGTCAGCGGCTAAATGAGGAAGGGTATTGAAACAGATTGATTCTGATTGGCCGTTAGTACATCACTTATCATAGATTCGAATGTATTAATTTGAAAAGAATTTTAGATTGAAATGAAAATGATAATACGTGAGAGGAGATTAAAAAGATATTCAAAGTTTATCAAAATTTCAACTCGGAATAAATAGAGAAAATTGTATTGTCATATTATTTTGAATGTTAAGTTACTCTGAATAAATGATTTTAAAATTAAAAAAAAATAATATACGTTTTTAATCACATTATGCCCACACCGTATATATGGACATTTCATATAAACCATATTTATTCAAATAAGTACTATTATGTTAACGTATGGACTTAAATTAATATTCTTTAGAATTGAATATTATGATGAGAAAAGTAAAAATCGAAATATATTAAGATTTAAATAATAAAAGATGTCGAATTAATATTTGAAAGATCCAATATCTCTCATAGATTTAGTAATTTAGTATTTTTTAGTAATTGATCATATTAATATTTAAAAATAATCTCCGTTTTTATATTAATCTATACTAATATTATAAAGCAGAAGAGTTTGTTTGTTTGTTTGTTTGTTTGTTTGAAAGCGCTAATCTCCGAAACTACTGGTTCGAATTGAATAATTCTTTTTGTGTTGGATAGTCCAGTTATCGAGGAAGGCTGTAGGCTATATAACATCACGCTATGACTAATAGGAGCAAAGATATAGTGGTAAATGTGTAAAAAACGGGAGAAATTATTACATCTTTGAAGCCTTCCGTTGCGTGCGCTGTGAAAACGGTTCAAGATACACAAAAAATATGTATGAAAGAAAAATAGCTCTTTTAATGATCTAAAAAACAGTTCGCGACAGTATATGTCTATCTTTTAAGATTAGCTCACAAAAACCGTCTTCATGGTACCTAATTTGGTCGATATAATTTGTTTAAGTTGTATCAACATAATAATATTAATCTTTATTCAAATAAACAAATAAATATATTGTTGGTTAAGAGTATTTCATTGTGAATAAAAAAAACACAGGTTTTATCCTGAAAATTCTACGGGAACTCGACCATTACGAAAACCCCGCAAGAACGGGAACTATGTGGGAAGAACCAAAAATCTGTCGGAAGTCACTATTTCACGCGGACGGAGCCGCGGCAAAAGCTAGTATTTTTATATATAGGAACAATGACAAAATTATTTTATACGAAACAAAGATTCATTGTTATCTATAGAAAAAGTTGGGAGGATGTTTGTTTAGTCAGATACTATCTACATCATATACACAAAAACCAGCAGAACTTTGATATACTTTCAAGATATTCATCACTTTTTTATGACAGACAATGGATGTATAATGTATGCTTGTTTCCGGTAAGGGACAGACGAGACAACGTTGCATCGTCAGGGCGTATTGTATTTGTATGCTCGTAACACATATACGTGTACCACGAAATAAACGAAAATATCAATAAGATTCTGATTCAACTCATATATGTAAAAATATTTGTTCAAATATTCAAGTATAGTTCATATTACATTATATATTAAGTTTTATAATAAACTCACCGCCTGTTTTTCGATTTGTTCGTGAGCGCTTCTCCCAGTTCGTGTTTTAAGTGGCGCTGCGTCAGACGAAGCCAGCGTCATTAACAGGACTCCTATCACCGCCACTAGAGGGAACCACACACCCATTGTCCTTCTAGAGGTATCCTTACACAAACGGCATTTAAATTTCATACAATCGGCATCCTTTGTATTTCCATATTCGCTCAAAGCTCCTGTCGAACCTTTTAAGTCTTTTGAGTCACAATCCTTTAATCGTCCATCAATCTGCCATCTTAAGTCATGTACACAGTTAACACTATCCACTAAATGAATCGTATCGTTAATTATATCATCATTGGAATGATAATTCGTCATTATATCGATTGAATCGTTCGTAATATCGCTTCTATTTTCTCCCATTTTGATTTTTTTATATTACTCTATTTATTTTTATCATTTCTTATCATTTTATTTGTGACTCCGATCATCCAGTATTACACTAGACCGCTATCAGCATATTTCCTGTACGTTGGTCCAGATTAATTTCTCTACAGACGGGATACTGCTTTATCGATATACATACGAGCGTCGAAACTTAAAATATTCTTGTATAAACAAGATATGTAAGAAGATTCTGAAACAAAAAAAATAAAGTTCATTCATAAGATAAATAAATCGAATTATTATAACAAAAAAATAATTCAACAGTCATTGAACTGAGTTAATTAAATGACATGAATTTGTAATCGATAATAAAAAATATATATGACGAAATGAATCAAGAAAGTCTTCCATTGATGTATAAATAATGTAGATAACAAACGAAGTAACAGACATAAATCTTCATTTGTAATGAGCCACGATGATATATTTTCAATGCCTTATTATTCATAATCGTAGTACCGCTATAAATTATAATATAAATGGAATATCAAGCGCCACGTATACGTTCATATTAAAATAAGACATAAAAGAGATTAATCAAAGCTATGTACATAATATATGTAAATCTCTCGATACAAAAGAATGAATTACAGTTAAGACTCTCTTTTAATATATAAATTGGAAAATTAAAAAGTATCAAAGCATCAAACAGCAAAATAATGATATTAAACATGTACGTAAAAGCAATAAAAAACAATCAATACGTGATATAAGAAAAATATAAATTAAAAATAAACAATTCACCAAATAGGTTATATTATCAAAGAGGTTTTATATAATTAGAATTTATTATAAGAAATGTACTTAAATTTTTTTATATATTGTATTGTGTATAATATTAATTAGGACTGGCATGTATTAGTAACTGCAAGACGAAAAGTTGACAAACATTTGATTGACAGTACCGGGGTTCGAAGATCTTATCAGAGAGTACAGTTACTTGAGTGTTGGCTGATTTTATTGACGGGAATTAGGTCAAATGTTTATATGAGAAACATAAATGAATATCAAATATACAATTGTTATATTATGTTAAAATTAATATGTTTACTTTTGATAATTGATAGAAAAAAATGTAAAATGAGTATACCTAATTCAAATATTTGAGGCGATAATACGCTATCAAAAATAATCGAAATTAATTTATATTCATTAATACTTATTCGAGTAATATTTATTTATATAGCACTTAGTATTATTATTTATAAGTACCTTATGTACGTTGTTATTACACATGTATAAAATTTTGCTTGAATTATAAGTGAAAAAAGTGAAATTAAACATCTTTTGACTATGACTACATAAATTTAAACGAATCCTTTTATATTTTCATTTCAAAGTCAAAAGAAAGTAGATTTAAATGATAATTACTTTATCTGAGTGGATTTCATCGATTCTAAAAGAGATTTTAATACATTTTTGATACGAATTCATTGCTGTAAATATATATAGAATAAAAATTTACTTTATCTATCAATCGCATTTATAAGCGTTTCCCTACTAAGTAATTAAATAAGTCAAGAGCTTTTTTAAAGTATACTCTTTTTCTGTACTTATTGAAATAATAATTAATTATAACACCTACTGATCAAATAAAAATATGTATGTATGTTGTTGTAACAGAGGGATGTCACGATGATAAATTACATGAATGATAAAATGTTGAAGTAATCAAAATATAGAGAGGGAACACACACACACAAAGAAAATTAATTATATATGTTAATTAATATAAATTGTCTATGTGTGTGTGTAGGTTTGTGTGTGTGTGTGTGTGTGTGATTAAAAGAATTGATAAACAATTAAAGATGTGTTATCTGAAGAAATCTTAAGGAAGTCGCTTAACAATACTAATGAGCAAATAAATTAAAAGTCTAATGCACTTGATGAATTTCATGAAATTGTCTGTTCGGAATAATTTATTAGTTTAGTTTATGTTAATATATCATTAAATAGAATCAGCAAGTTTGAGTCAAGTGCGGGCTAAGTGCAACTATTTATAGACGAACTGATTCAATTAAAGCTTCAGTAGTGACTGCTGGAACAAAATAAATAAAGATCGAGCTCAATCAAAAATCAACCCTATCACCAATATACACAATTTATAATAACTCAAACAGAGTCTAGCTAAGCTCTAGAATATATTTTTGACAAATAAGTAATAACTTCTCTTAGGTACGGACTATAGAAAATAATTAAAAAAAATATACAAGCCCCCACTCACATTTTCTCAATTCGCTCCACAAGAAAAGCACGCAAACAAAACAAACTCCCCTATGTAGAGCTTTCGCTTTCGTTCGAGACATTCACACCACACTGAAAGCACTGTTCTACAAAACACTAATATTATATCATTCGAACGCCAGTCACCTACATACGATACGACGTACAAACTATCTCACAGGCACGTATGAGCGTGTTATAATAAGTAATTATTACTATATATATAATTATTCAAGTCTGTATCGTGAGCAAATATAAGTGTCCATGAGCAAACGCTCGGCACGCGTCCGTCGCGACCACGCGCGGTTCTGTACTAACCAACAGGCAACTTTGGCTGAACTTCGTTGACGTGCAAGTGTGTGCGTCATTACATTGTCTGTGTGTGTGTGTGTGTGCATCGGGTTATTATTTTCGACACAATGAAGTACAATAAGGGTCCAATTTTTGAGTTTCGTATGGCGTCTTTGTATCTTTGCCTGTTTGTACGATAAAATTTTAAGAAGAATATTAGTCTGAGCCACTGAAATTCTCAGTTCATGTTGAAGTTGACGTCGTGTTGTGTTATTATTTATGAAAACCCGACTCACTTCATCAGTTGCCTTGAAGTCTAAGTCTGGATCTCAAGTCTAGTCTAGACAGCCATCTGAGCCAACTCAGCTTAGTCTAATCTCCACCACAAACTGACGGTGTGTACAACATTAACGCGGCTTACAGTCTACTTCATACGCTTAAGATTACTATGAAATTGACGGGAGATTCATAACTAGTATAAACAGAGTTAAAATCTAAGAATTTTGCTAGTTTTGTTCATTTAAATGAATAATATTTTTCGGATGTACAGCTCATCTCGTCTGCCCGTGATCACGGTTGCTGTAAAGTAAGCAAAACGTCGAGAATATATAGTTTTGTACAAAAACCAACCACGTATGTAGTATATTCGAAAAATATTAGTTTCATTTAAACAAAGTTACAATAATTACAAGAACATCTTTATCCAACACATTTAATTTGAACTCCTCACTTCAAGTAAACTGATAATGTCCAACAACAAATAATTACTCCCAACCATAAGACGTTCATTATCTAACGCCATATATACATATGAACGGGCCATAACTTTATACTATATCCGATTTAGGTATTCGCCTTTTACGTGGCTGATTAAATGTTATTGTTCAGAAAGGCACGAACCAAATATAGATATTACTAGTATGTTACACTACCGCATTTGTTTCTCATTAGATACCAGAAATTGACATTTATACGAATAATAATGATTATGATTGATTGTGGCTCAGTGGTTAAAGGGCCCGCCTCTCGGCCTCTCGTCGCCGAGGGCGCGGGTTCGATCCTGACCCGGGCAAGTACCAATGTGATTTTTCGGAATCATATGTACTTTCTAAGAGTATTTAGACATCACTGATTAATGTTGATTCCCAAAAGAGGGTTGATGTCAGGCAGGCGGCCGGTCGTAAAAACAAATAGCCAAAAAACTATTCATAACATGTAAGGCAGACCCTGGCTATAGCTGGGAAATTGCCAGGTAGAAGAAGAAGAAGAATAATGATTAACTTGCTCTAGTAGCAATCGACTTGAACCTTTATAATAAATATTTTTATAACCTCCCGTGGGATTCTTGGGACAGAACGTGACCTATCGTTGACGCGGCAATTTTATATATGTAGAAAAAAATCAATTAAAAAGGCATAAATAAATTTTATGTTACTTCTTAAAAAATGAAACAAAAATTCGTATTTATCATATTAAACGAACAGAATAGAAAGCGTTATTAACTACTTATTATTGTCCTTAAAAAAAAGCATATATATCATACATTTTTAATTTTAAATATATGTACATATATATAAATATTTCGTTCGTCTCGATTTCGCTTTATTGAAAACGTGGTCTAGACATTAAATAAAATTTCAAGCACTAGTGTCATTTTTCCATTGCCGCCATCTTATTTATGAATAAAATTTTTGAAATTTATATTCGAGTCCGTTAACCTTAAATTGAATTTACATGTTTCAATTGACGTGTCTCAATCACATCTAAATAATAAATAGATGTAGGAATAATAATCTCGAATCTGAAATAAAGAAATTTGAACGTACTTTAACGAGAAATATTAAATTTATTTTATTTTTTAAATTAATTTAAAACAGAACAGTGTCTTTCACATCCAGCCAGTCGATCTAAACAGTATTTATATTGAGGCATAGATTATTAATTATTTATTGATAAGCTTTTAAAACAAAACGTAACAGTTTTAGTATTTTTACTCTATATTTATTCTAGTTATCATGTCTTATATCAGATGTATTTATTGTAAATTTATTATTGTGTATGTGCGTGTGTGTGTGTGTGTGTGTGTGTGTGTGTGTGTGTGTGTGTGTGTGTGTGTAATAACAAATATTCTAAGGATTCGCCAAATTTATAATGCATGAACACTATTCCCTAACTCGTCCTTTAAGCAACGTAGTCCTTTTTCATCAATATATGATTAAACATATTTTCATATCCGAATACGTTCAAAAATATCTCATAATAAAAATTTCATAGCATTTCTTACAATTTAGTGTCTAAGCATAGTATTATATATTTTTTCAAACTATTACTTCAAATGTAAGTCAATGGGAAAACCAACGAAATATGTGTCAAATAATGTATAAATTATTTAATATTTTCCTGTTTCCTAATAACACTGCGTCAATGAACTTGGGTACGGTAACTTTATTGTGACGTACGAC